GGGTGAGTGGTGCACTTAGGAGTCTGTGGAGACAAAGAACTTTGTCCTTGGAGGCAAAGAGGGGAATGTATGAGAGTATAGTTTTACCAACACTCTTATATGGGTGTGAAGCATGGGTGATGAATGTTGCAGCGAGGAGAAGGCTGGAGGCAGTGGAGATGTCATGTCTGAGGGCAATGTGTGGTGTGAATATAATGCAGAGAATTCGTAGTTTGGAAGTTAGGAGGAGGTGCGGGATTACCAAAAACTGTTGTCCAGAGGGCTGAGGAAGGGTTGTTGAGGTGGTTCGGACATGTAGAGAGAATGGAGCGAAACAGAATGACTTCAAGAGTGTATCAGTCTGAAGTGGAAGGAAGGTGGGGTAGAGGTCAGCCTAGGAAAGGTTGGAGGGAGGGGGTAAAGGAGGTTTTGTGTGCAAGAGGCTCGGACTTCCAGCAGGCGTGCGTGAGCGTGTTTGATAGGAATGAATGGAGACGAATGGTTTTTAATACTTGATGTGCTGTTGGAGTGTGAGCAAAGTAACATTTATGAAGGGTTCAGGAAACCGGCAGGCCGGACTTGAGTCCTGGAGATGGAAGTACAGTGCCTGCACTCTGAAGGAGGGGTGTTAATGTTGCAGTTTAAAAACTGTAGTGTAAAGCACCCTTCTGGCAAGACAGTGATGGAGTGAATGATGGTGAAAGTTTTTCTTTTTTGAGCCACCCTGCCTTGGGTGAGAATCGGCCAGTGTGATAAAAAAAATTATATAATATATATATATATATATATATATATATATATATATATATATATATATACATAATATATATATATATATATATATATATATATATTATATATATATATATATATATATATATATATATATATTTTATATATATATATATATATATATATATAATATATATATATATATATATATATATATATATATATATATATATATAAGAACATAAGAACATAAGAATGTAGGAACACTGCAGAAGGCCTACTGGCCCATACGAGGCAGGTCCTTATCAAAACGACATCTACCTAAAGCTACTCAAGAAATAACTCCCGTACCCCTTGACACCAATCAAACCCAGCCCCTCCCACTCATATATTTGTCCAGTCTCTTCTTAAAGCTACCCAAGGTCCTAGCCTCTATCACCCCACTGGGAAGACTGTTTCATGCATCTACAACTCTGTTAGAAAACCAGTACTTACCTATGTCCTTTCTAAATCTAAATTTATCCAACTTAAATCCATTATTCCTGGTTCTTACCTGGTTCGCCCACCCTCAGTACTTTATTAATGTCTCCCTTGTTTATGCCCGTCATCCACTTATACACTTCGATGATATCTCCCCTCATTCTACGCCTCTCCAGAGAGTGGAGATTTAAGGCTTTAAGTCTATCTTCATACGGGAGGTTCCTTACACAGTAAATCATTTTATATATATATATATATATATATATATATATTATATATATATATATATATATATATATATATAATATTATATATATATATATATATATATATATATATATATATATATATATATTTACATATACAGGAGCTATATAAGATAGATTACTGTATTTTACACTAGACTTTACGTTATCACTAGCAAAAATTTTGAGTAGATTTGTATGTGTAGCGTCATGTAAGAAGGAGAGTAAAGCGCACGTGTTGGTGGTCACAGGTAGGAAGACTGGTGGTAGCTGGTTGCAGTGATGGTACAGTGGTGGTATATGATATATCCTCCAGAGACTCCACTGCCTCCATCGTCCACTCCACCACTGACAACGGCAAGCATCTCCTCTCCGTCTCTCAGGTAAGACACCTTAAATCACAGAACGGGTGGGGTCTGAATCCATGGCAGGTGAGCCCTAAAACTCACAGGCCAGTGCGTTAACCACTTGACAAGATGGCTCTAATATCGTACTAGCCTGACTCACCTGCCATGGATTCCAGCGCCACCCTTTCTGTGATTTATTTGCAATCGTGGTATTGCGATTTCGTGAGTCGGGGCACTTTAACTGGTGCTAAGAGGTTAACAGTCACTTGGTAAGAGGAAAAAATACTCAATTGTTACAGCAATATTTAGATTTTTAAGTCACTAGTCATCATCAGCGCTACTATGTTTTACCCTTCACCCTCTAGCACTAGCGTCACCACCACTACCAGCGTTCTTCCCTTACCACTAGCATCGCCACTACCAACCATTATACCCCCCCCATCATCGTTATCACCAGCATCATCCACCTCACCAATTACAACTACCACCATTATACCTCGTTATCATCACTTCTCACCATCACCACTACCAAGAGCATTACTTTTCATCACCACTGCCACCCTAATCACCTCTCACCATCACCACTACCATCACTGCTTCACCATCACCAGCAGGTGCGGTGGGTGCACACCTCGCCAGGGGAAGACCTGAGCTTCTTCTCTATATCACTGACGGCCGCCTCACACAGTGGCGTGTGAGCGATGTGGACGCCTCACCTACACTGACCTCCTAGACCTGGGCAGCCAGGGAGAGTCCTACACCAGCTCTCCAACCCTAGACAGGGTCACCCTAGGAGGTAGGATCTCAGGCTCTCTGTCTGGAGGCTTGATTCTTCTCGTCTCATATTATAAGCATGTTTTTCATGTGTTGTTTCATTCGTGTATAATAACTCCAATACTTATTTCGCTTTTCATTAGCAAAATTTCAAGAGGGAAGAAGTCAAGTAACACATTGCTGCCCTCTATTCGCTCCCAATTAAAAAAAAAAAAAAAAAAAAAAAAAAATAAAAAAAAAAAAAAAAAAAAAAAAAATAGAATGAAAGAAGATCGTGAAAAACCTTGGAGTAAATTATGTCAACTTATCTTATTTTCTGATAATTAGAGACAGAGCCATACACTGAAACACTCAGTGTACAAGCATTCCACCTTTCAGACACACCTCCATGTAAACCCTTCAGGATATGGTAAAACACCTCATTGGTAAAGATAACTTTACAAAAACTTAACACACATGGGCCATGAAGTGCCAAACGTAAAATGGGCTGTGCAAGAAAGGTATACAAAATGAAAGTTAAGTCACATGTGCAACATCTGGGTATCATTACTGTAGACGTTTCATTATCCAGTGGCTTTATCAATACAAATTCTAGGACATAACTAGAAGACAGTAGAACTATATACAAAAGATGAGGTAATCAGTCCCTCAGCCTTGTAGTTGGTGTAAAGAGCACCGTGGTTGTAGATATTCTGGATCACAGGCAAGGAGGCTGTGGAAGTAGGTCATAACCCAAAGGGACGGGTCAGTTGTAGTAGACATGAAGATCAAGTAGATGTCCTCTGCACCAAGATTCCATGATGTTGCAGTGTCTGACAAGTTGTGCAAGAAAAGTATACAATACCGACAAGATGACCTACTTCCACTGGGGAATCCTGCCTACCTGTAACTATGCCCTCGTCTACTACACGTCCCTATTCCACTGACGCCCATATAAGCGCCAGTCTCCTTGCCTGTGATCCAGAATATCTACAACCACGGTGCTCTTTTCACCAACTCCAAGGCTGAGGGACTGATTACCTCATCTTCTGTATATAGTTCTACTGTCTTCTAGTTATGTCCTAGAATTTGTATTGATAAAGCCATTGGATGGCAAAACGTCTACAATAAAGCTACCCAGATGTTGCACATGTGTCTTAACGTAAAATGGGCTCTGTAAAATTGATCATATCCAAACCACAGACTGGCCGACTCTCTCACCTATGAGTGTAAAGGGAGATAGATGATAGGGAGGGGTGAGAAGGAAGGGCTATACAGTAAAGCAAAAAAGCCGGGACTAAACCTAGTAGCAAAGACATTGTGTGACGTCAGTTTAATGTCCAGATGAAGTAAACTTAGTGACACTTGTGTAATTGTCATTATGATTTCGTGAGTCGTGTAATCAATAGCCGTACATCTTATAATTTTTATATACTGTATATGGAGCATGTTCAACACACATGGGTCATTCAGTACTGCTTAAGCCTAGCGAAATACAAAATACGTAATACAGCCTGTCTTGTGATGAATGGTTTTGAAAACCGACAAGTTGTAGAATTGAGACACTTATGCAACATATGGGAATCTTTATTGAAGAAACGTTTCACCACACATTGACCTGCTTTGTATAGGACTGATGAAGTCACTGTGTGGCAAAATGTTTCTTCAATAAAGTTTCCCATATATTGCATAAGTGTCTCAGTTCTTCAACTTGTCGGTTTTCAAAATCATTCATCACATCTGTCAGACACTGCTTCATCATGGGATCTTGATACAAAGAATTATTCAAAACTTGTCCAACCTTTAGACGAAGATATACTTAGATTAGTGGATGGTACCGCTATGACCCCGCCTCCTCCTGCTTCGCCTCACCTGAATGCAGTATATAAGCCACTGCTACGGCCCTGTTCTGTATTAATGTAACAATAACAATGGTTATAAATGACCATAATTTTTAAAGGGGTGGACCAGTAAGCCAGTGGAAGGCCTCGGTTGAATGACCAAAAGCTCCAAAGGTGGGTCATCATCTGCCTTAGGCCCGCATCAGGAAACACTTGTCCTGTTTCCTGACGAACCTTACCTAACCTAACCTAACCTAACCTAACCCTGTTCTGTACTTTCTACAAGACTGGTGGAGTGAACACATCGACTCCAGGCTGAGGGACTGATTACCTCAAACTCCTCCTCTCCTTATACCTTCTGCTTTGTATAGGACTGATGAAGCCATTGTGTGGCGAAACGTTTCTTCAATAAAGATTTCCACATGTTGCATAAGCGTCTCAATTCTGCAGCCTATCTTTACTGAAGCTTTTAGAATATTAGCATATTTTATTAACAAGGAAAATACAATTAAGTACCAGACCTCAGTACTGTAGCTGGGTATATCATCGGATATAATATATACAAGAGAGAAACAGTTAAATTCATTCTTAAAGAAAGCTTTCAGGGACTAGCACTCCATTAGCTTTATAAAGTCCCTGGTGGGCGAAACGTTTCACCAATAACTTTATCAAACCTCACGCATGTCTCTCATTTGTCGGCATTGTTACTCTATTTTAATTAGGGTGAAGCGCTAGACCCGTAAAAATTATACTGGACTTACCTCCCGCTTTCTAGGATCAAGGGGCCCCCTTACTGGATGTCGGTATTATGTACCTCTGGACTTCAAGTAACTCCCAGCACCGAAACGTTTCCACATAAGATATCCTAGTATTTGCATTTTTGTTTCTCTTTCCAACATATCTTTATAGAGAGAAATGTTATAAAGTACCCACGCGATAGAAATGTATAAATGCAGTTCAGTGGGAGCCTTTATTGACTGACATTTTCGTAGCACCGAGCCCACTGTGTGGACAAAAATCAATAATGGATCTCAGTACACTTTATTTGTGTCCTGTTTGCTTTTGTGTAAGGAAACGATCCTTTGGGGAGAGTTATTTTGAGCATGAAAGATGGGTTAGAAATAAAATTAGGCTTTGTGAGAGGAGTTTCACTTGTGGGAGAGAAAGAACCAGGGCTTAATCCAGCTACTGGGGAATGTGCCTGTTTGCATACCTTTATAACTTGTACCGGCGTCGTTCTGATGTTGTCAGGTGTGGCCACGAGCATAGCTTTCCGTCCTGACAATGAGTGCGTGCTGCTTCTGGGCGTGGACACTGGGGACGTGTATGAGTGTTCCACCTTCTGCTTAAGACACTCCCTCTACCGCTACGCTGGTCACACCTCCTCCATCAGGGGACTTCTGTGGAACACACACCATGACAAGATCTTCCTCTCTTGCTCCCTGGACTGGAATGTCAAAGTCTGGCTGCATCGGTCACAGTAAGCATTGCTCAATGTTTATGCAAGCACTAAGTGTAGTCTGTGCAAACAATGACAGTAAGTGTAATCTGTGCAAATACTAACAGTAAATGTAGTCTGTGCAAACACTAATAGTAAGTGCAGTCTGTGCAAACAATGACAGTAAGCGTAATCTGTGCAAACGCTTATAGTATTGTTATGTCCAGGGTTGGAAATGTGGGTACACAGCGTGTGGTTGATTCTCATTTTCCATTTTTTAATATTCGATTTCTCTACTAATGGAGACGTGATTTTTTCTCTTAAAATCAACTCTATACTCTATGTTCAATCAGTGATGGAAATAGGGATACACGACCATATACCTACTTCTCGGTTCCCAAACGTATACCTATTTAAAACTCACTTCTATCACTGCCTGTGATTCAAACATTTTACTTCCGTCCTGGATGAAGGATCGAGACTCCTGCACTATACGCTAGTCAATATTTCATTGGTATTCTTCTTTATATCACAGATTTAACGTTCTTCAGGTTACCGTGGATACAGTTTGACATATGTTCTGGCTGGTGTTATAAGTCACAGTGAGGATCACATGACTTTAGAGTGACCTCTTGCTACTGCAAGTTTATTCTCAAATTAAGACACCTCTGCATCGTTTAAAGTTTTATTATGACACTTTTACTCACCAGGAGCTATTTCATTCCTATGTCGGTATTATATACCTTGAATGATACAGGTTCATCCTTACATGACCTGTGGTGACGTTGATATTGCAGGTCACCGCTTGTGACGCTGGACCTGGGAGGACCTGTGGCCGGGGTCACGTGGTCACCATACACAAGTACGGTGGTGGTGGCAGTTACGGAGGAGTGCAGGATCCATGTCTACGACCTCTTTCTCCGTCAGTGTCGTCCCCTGTGCGTCCAAAATGTCGCCCCACGACGTCGCATCATCCCCTCCTGCATCGCTTTCAGCCCTTTCTACCCAGTCATCGTTATTGGTGGCGACAGGTTGGTATACAATGTAGCATGACCAGAAGGTCTGCTACAGTGTGCCTCCATACTTATGTACATATATACATACATATAGATAGATATATCACTTCCTCTTCCTTTTCTACCTCTTTTGTTTCTCTCTTTCCTTCTGGTGATAGTTTGTCTTCGCTTTCTATCTGTGATGATTTATGTCTTTTTTCTCCTTCATTAATGTTAGTTTACTTTCCTCATCTATTGCATCCCCAACAACACTAACACTGACCAATGATCTCAACACTTCACTAACACTGATCATCATTAGTCTCAACCCTCCACTAACACTGACCTTCACCACGAATAATCACTTATCACTGAGTACCACCTGGTCATTCCTCATCTGGACTCTCCTGACAGTGGCTACCTGGTGTTGCTGAAACTCTCGCCCAACCTGAGAAAGGTACACAAGAACACAAGGGACCTGGACGCTTGTTCGCAAAAGGAGGTGGAACACTGCAAGATGGAGAGACTAATAGCAATCAACAAGGGCTGAGGGAACCAGCTAATGACCCTTAGGAACACCAGGTGGATGAAACTGCACATTACTGAATACTGGTCGTGACTATAGAGTGAGAGTTATTTTCAAGGCTCAACACAGCTAGTGCTGTAATGTGGATTAATTACTAAAAAAAAGTATTATAATCCTCTCCTATATATAGGATTTTTTGTAAATACGATTAAAAAAGTGCATCCAAAATTGAATAAGACTCGAAATCCCTTCATAATGCGGGCTGTTTAATTTTGGATATACTTTTTAATTGCATTTACGAAAAAGTTCCCTATACAGATGTAACTTCGTAAGACATCTTACTGTATTATCAATGTATTATGCAGTATTTACGAAAAATGTTAAACCCATGCGAGGTCTTCAGCGAAAAAAAAAAGTGAAATAAAATTTACCAGATAATAGCCTTGTATGTTTCAAAATAATGAAATAAAATTTATTTGCAAAATAACAGCCTCGTATGTTTGTGATGAATCCACATTTTCAATTGCTACCAACTTCAGAGTGCTCTATTATTATTATATTTAGTGGGAAAACACCAAACCTATAGGTGTCATATACAGTTCCTGGGAAAACGGAAGGCGATCTGGATCCAATGAAGGGGAGCGCCAATTCCTTGGATGAAAAGCCCCTCACTGACGTCAAGGAGCCACCTTGAAAGGAGTTATTAAGACATGTCAGGAAGCAAAAAAATAATTATGGTAATTTTTATAGCACTAAATCCTGCCATAATAATAATAATAATAATTTATATAGTACGATTTTTTAAAGAAATTGAAAAAGTACTCAAAATTTAATTGCGGGTGGAAAATTTTTCTACTATAGTAAGTGCTGTTTCAGTTTTGGATGTATCTTGCCTGGTTGATCAGACCCTGATCCACCATAAGGCCTGGTCACAGACCGGGCCGCGGGGGCGTTGACTCCCGAAACCCTCTCCAGGTAAACTCCAGGTAATCTTATTAATTGGATTTACAAAAAAAAAAACACTATATAGAGGAGCTTTATAGAAGAATTTACTGTGAACTAAATTACCAGCTTGCAAAAAAAAGGCCAAAGGCTTTTTTTTTTTTTCCTGAGTAAATTTTCCGTCTGTACACAACTTCTCAATAAACTTGTTAATCAAATGAGATTAAAAGACACCACATAGTTTTTTAATATTGCTAAAATGCTATGCAATTTCAACCCAAGTTTTGTTTCCAACAGTCCATCACTAAAAATTACATTTTTCCATTAGGCATTTCCTTAGAAAATTTAAAAAAATCCTTTTAGATTATTAAATCAGCGTATAATAATAATAGTAATAATAATAATAATAATAATAATAATAATAATAATAATAATAATAATAATAATAATAATAATAATAGTTATAAGGCAACTTTAAACAGTTTAATACCACACAAGTATGAGTTTTTTTTTTAATTAAAATTAACAATATTTATGTACTATCACTCTGGTAAATCTAAAATAATATCTTAATATTCCTTGAATGTATATTATTATAATCAAAAGGAAGCGTTATAAAGCAGCAGGAAGGAGAATCAGTTTAGCTTCTCCAAATGGTCAGCATTTTGCACCTCTCCTCTCATACCTCAACTTAATAAATACAAAATGTTGGCTTCAGATTTCCTGATGTACATTCCAGAATAGTTCGTGCTGGAAAAGGACTTTTAATAGTGAGTCCTCTTGAGGGAACCAAGGGTTGAATCCTTAGTCTACCCATCATTTTGGATTAAGTGGTCTTAATCCAATGGGTCTAAACACTTCCCTCATTATAAAAATGATTTATTACCTAAGCTGTACCTTCCACAAAACAGTCAAAAGAAATTAGAGTTACAACAATGCAAAGATAACATTTAAATGAAAAAGTAGATCATTAATACACATTGTCTCAAAAAAAAAAGACAGAAATCAATTATTTATTACTTCCTGACTCACTGTTTCTATGTAACTCCGCTGTTAACACACAAAAAAGTCATTCACTCACAGTGAAATAAATTCGTATCAAAACGCAATAACTAACCTCAGACCTCTGAATGGCGTGAGGCACCTTCTGCTTGGACTAATCCTTAACAATGACCCCATTAACCCAGTTAGTTCATCTCCACTCTGAAAAATGTCTTCTCATGATGCTGCAGTGATGTCAAACGCCTAAAGTGAAAAAAAAATACTTAAAGTGTTAAGATTTAGGCTGCGTAATGTTGCTCCTAACAGCTTAACATGTACTAACTTGTAATACATAAAGCATGTATAGAATAATAACACTATCTAGGCGCTATCTGTGCCCAGGGAACAAGGACCCCAATGTAAGTAAGTTACTTTGTCTGACCTTTTTGGGGTTATCTTAGGTAATTTACACTATGTATAATAATTGTACTTAGGTGTACCTGTGCCTGAATAAACTTACTTAGAATACAATGTCTGGAACAATTCCCTATTAACTTACAAATTACAAGAAACTGATAAAAATAATGTATAAAAAGAATTCTATAATATTTATGAAGTTAGTATTACAGTGAAGTTTATTCCAAAGTTAGGTAATAAAAGAAACAGTAAAGAATGGCTCAATGGAAAATGTTGCAGAGCTATGAAAAATAGGACAATAATAATAATAATAATAATAATAATAATAATAATAATAATAATAATAATAATAATAATAATAATAATAATTATAATTATAATTATAATTTTATTTCAGCATAATACGTTCGTACGAAGATGAGTGGCATTTAGTTGTGCATACAGAAAGCCCATAGTTATGCAGAGAATTTCGGAAACAATATAGAAAGGAAGCTAATCCAGGGCAATACATCGACACCATGCCTAACCCTTCTAGGGTAGGGTAGGTGCCTGAGCCCGAGCCTTTAGCTCATAAGACTGTCATTTCCATTTGCCCCCTTGGGGAGGGGATGGCAGACCAGAGAGGCCTAGCTTGTGGCTAGGCCTAGGGACAGTTGGTCCCAAAGATGAGGAGGTACTTGTGCCTCCTCCCATGGGAGACTTAGGTCTCAGACATTCCCTAAAGAGGGAGCCAAGGCCGGGCCACCACTTGGAAAAGGCCCGGGCCGGGTGAATACCGGCTAATCTTTAATAGTAATAATAAAATAACAGGGCAATATCAGAGAAATAAACAAGCTAGAAATGAATACACGAGGCAAGTAATCCACAGGAAGACTACAGACCATGTGATAATAAAATATTAAAACTGTCAGCGAGACTCACGAAATCATAACACAATTGCAAACAAACCATTGAATGCGTGGGTTTTCAGAAGTTAATAACAAAAAAATGTCACCAAAGATCATGTAATTGAAATTATGAGATACTTATATTCTACTCAGGCAAGTTATAAAATAGTTTTCGAATATATGGATGGGGAAATGCTCAAAAAGGCCTTTCCAGCATATATTTTAAGCCAAAACTAGAATATGTAATGGTGGTGTGGTGCCCACATCTGAAAAAAACATGAATAAGTTAGAATGTCTAAAAGAGCTATTTATTTATTTATTTATTTATTTATTTATTTAATGTCTTTGCAAACAGTACATTGAGTTTTTGTATTTACAATAGTTGGGTTGCAATGCAAAGAGGGCTTCTATTATGGCTAGCATAGTTGTTAGAGGGAAAAAGAATATAAGTTATAATGAAAGTCTGAAAGCACTTGAGCCCACACTGGCTGATACCATGATGAGAGGAGACATGATAATCTTATATAAGGTCATTGTGGAAAATACTGTATATATTTTCCAGAAATTCAGTATTTATATGTAAATAGATGGCCATACTGTATTTAATAATATTTATGTCATAGAAAACGAAAAGCCTGCGTCTGCGCAGACGGGACTCGCCATCTTGGTTTTGAATTGGATACAATGTTAGTGTAATGGGAAGGAATTTTCGTGCTCTAGAGGTTAAAATTGGGCTGACACCTCTCAAATAGGAGGCAAAATTGTTGGACATGCATTCCTGCATAACTTGAGATATCAGATGACTGGACAAGACAGCTCCAGGAACCTCAGATAAGCTCTCTAGATTTGTGTATAATTCTGGCCAGTATTTTCATAAATTTAGTGAGGTTTTTCTGAGTATGATACAACATTAATATCCAGTTAAATTGGTGAGTGATATTAAGATATATTTTCCTTCTGTTATGTAATTGTGTATATATATAACCATTTATTATTTTTAATATACAGTCCACAAATTTATATATTTACCAGTATTCCTGGTGTATGTATATTTCATTTAATTAATAGGTCCAGAGCAACTCGTGGTTATGACAGTGGTAGGTATCGAAGGGGACATTTTTTGCGACCTAGGTGTCCCAAATTCCTACTTGTCTAACTGATAAATAATAATTATCTATGCTCATTTATTGTTATATACATAATTATACATACAGATAAATGCAAATTTCCACAGTCATCAAAGGACATAAAATATTAGATAAAAAATATAACAGCAATATAGATAAGAATCCGCAGTTGGAAACTGAAGAAAGCGTGGAGCAGAAAACATATCAGAAAATTATTCTTTGCAATCAGAATGGAAGGTCAGTGAATTAAAAGAGGCTGTAGTCAGTGCTACAACCATTTAAATTAAAAAATATATATATATATACATATAGGATGAACAAATTATTAAAGACGGAATACACTTTAAACTCCCAGGTAGCGTCAATGAGTTAGGGATAATCTATTATGTAAATTCTAAAATCTTAAAGTGAACTGTGTAATGGAGACAGTTATATTTTGTGGGTATGGGAGGACCCCTCCATTGGTAGACCAAAAAAATTACCAAACAATTTAAGGTAGATTTAAAGGTAAATTTTAGGTAAGGTTGGGTTGGTTTGCATTTATTTGTGGGTTAACAAAAAAAAGTATAACTGTCCCCAGTGCATAACCAACTTAATACTGAATAATTTATATAAAAAATTCGAGCCCCATACTAAACCCGACATTAGCCATATTTTCCCAGACATGTTATAGTATTTAGATGCCTTAGAGAATATAATTTTTTAAAGACGTACACTGGTTATACCAGTGAAAGGCCATTGTCATTCCTGCCAGCCTGCCTGCAGGCAGGTAGGTATGACCAAAAGCTCCAAATGCTTTGCATATTAGTGACCTTTTTTATGCCTTTTTTGTGCTGTCTTACATGTAAACTACATTATTTGTACTGCATAAATAAAAAATTTTATCCATAGGCCTGTGTCCCGTGTGGAAAAAATAATAATAATTGAACTTTTCGTGTCAGAGGAAAGAAAGTCTCCCTGATAACATTGAGTATACATAGTGTATAGTGTATACTACAGTGGCTCCCT